GAAAGAGATTGAGTTATTTTAAGGGATTGGCTCACATGAGTGTAGGCATGGCAATTCCACAATCTGCAGGGTGAGCTGTCAGCTGGAGACCCAGGGAATAGCTGATGCTGCAGCTCGAGTCTGAAGGCCGCCTGCTGGCAGAGCTCCCTCATCCTTGGAGAAGGTCAATCTTTTGTTCTATTCAGGCCTTCAACTGATTGGGTGAGGCCCACCCACGCTACGGAGGGCAATCTGCTTTACTCAAAGCCTACTATTTACATGTTAATCTCATCCCAAAACACACTCACAGAAACACCTAGAACAATGTTTGACCACACATCTGGGCACCATGGCCAGTCAAGGTGACAAAAGTCACCCTCAGCATTAAAATCCTGGCGGGGCTGCCACTTGTACCAAGTAGACCCCCAACCTTGGGCTACTGTAGCTGGAGTGTTACCCTGTTCGTTTCCTACCAAGCCCCCTTTAGCTGGTGAGCCATGGCTTTTCACCTCCTGCCCCAAATTGAGCCCACCCCTTCCGGGACCAAAGCTGATGGTTGGGCAGCCACCGTGCACTGGGAGTACCAGGGCTCTCCTGGGTCAAGCTGTGTGGTGGGGACTGGAGCAGCCCTGGCAAGAAGACCACAGATGCACATTTTTCTCCCTAGAAGCTCCATCACTTTTTCAAGACTGAATGCTTTCCAATTTGTGGTCTATCTTTGGTTGATTTCCAGTGCCCTGGCTTGGTTCATCTTGGCAAATTGGTCCAGTTTTCTGCTTTTTTCTTTGGTGAAAAGGAGTTGCTTGCATCCTCACCCATCATCTCTGGAAGTCCCTCCGGCTTCATGTATTTTGAGGGCCTGTCATCAGGCACACACACATTTACAGTTGTCTTCCTAAGGAACTGACCCTTTTATCAGCACGAGATGTCCTTCTCTGTCTCTGGACACTCCCTGTCTCCGAGTCTATTTTACCTGATGTTAATGTGGCCATTCCAGCCTTGCTATCCTCACTGTTTTCTTGGTATATCTTTCCTCCACCCATTTACTGTCTACCAACTTTTTATATTAAAATATGTCTTAACCTGTAATTAGGTCCTGCTTTTTTCCTTCACTCATTCTGGCAATCTTGGCCTTTTAATGGAGCGTTTCATCCATTAACACTTGTTGCCGTCATTAGAGTGGTTGGATTTAGGTACACTGTTTTAAGTTTGTTTTCTGTTGTCCTCTTTGATTTTTTGTTTCTCTGTCCACTCTTTCACTCCTTCTTTTGGATGACTTGAGTCCTCTGGAATTCTGCTTCACTTGCTGCTGAGAAGAGCCAACCTGATTCTTCAGAAAATGGAGGAAGGGCCAGACTCTGCACACACACACACACACATGAGGAGGGGTTTCCTGCTGTGTTTAAGAAGGTTCAGGTGACCTGGGTTTTCACGTTTTACCCAAACGTCTCCATCTCAAACCTTAGGGTCCACTTCTTCTCAATTAACCATCCACCCTTAACAGGAGAGACTTGGAAGGACTGTGTGTTGAACTTGCATCATAACTGGAATCTGGTCCTCAGTTCTGATGACTTAGCAGGTACAAGAATAAGGGATTTCTTTTAGGGCTGTTATAGACGCCCTCTGGTTCTGCCTGTGGCTGAGCCTCTAGCTAGAAATGCAAGGACCCTAGGTTTCCGCATGTACCCCAGCACAGTCCACCCCACCCTGTGCTCTCTGTAGCCATCATTACCCCTAACCGCAGCAGCTGCTTAATTTCCCCAAGTCCGGCCATCAGCCAGCCCTTTTCCCCAGGTAGCCACACGTGACCATGTAACACATTTTGGTGGTCGAGCCTGCCCCCTTCTCTCGCTCTTGTCTGACTGACTAGTTACCTGGGGCTGGGGGTGGGGAGGTGCCAAACAGCACTCTTATGAAAAGCTGGACAATGTGGCCGGTGTCGATGGTCAGCCACGTGTCGAAAATCATAAAACCCTTGTACTTCTATAAACAGACTTCTCCACCCAAAGTGTAAGCAGAACCAATGATCCTTTAAAAAAATATATATGGGACTGTGAAAGCGCTGCAGGGCACCTTCCACTCTTACAGCACGTCAGGGGCCGTCCTGACCCTCTGCTGAGGACGTCTGGGGGTCGGTGCCGTCCTGACCCTCGAGGACACCTGGGGACGTTTGTGGGTCTGAGCACCGCGAGCACCACCGGCTGGGGCGCCTGGTTCCGGAACATTCCTGTCTGAGCCGCAGTTGTCGGGAGGAACCCTTAGGCAGGCGCACCTGCGGCCCCGAGCGACCGGAAGAAGCGGGGCATTGTGGGAGGGGCCCGCGTTTCGGCGGGTTCCGTCAAAATGGCGCCCTTCTCGCCGGCGCTGCCCGCGAGCCCTTAGCCTGTGGGGGACCCGGGAGCCCGCGGGACGCGGGGCGGACGCGGGCGGCCGGGCCTCCGGAGCACGCCAGGCTCGGGGCGGAGCGGGCGAGCGCCGGGGCTTCGCGGGGCTCCCGCGGGCAGCCCCGGACTAGGATGGCGACTCCGGACCAGAAGTCGCCGAACGTCCTGCTGCAGAACCTGTGCTGCCGGATCCTGGGCAAGAGTGAAGGTAGCGGGGCTGGCCGGGCGGCTGGGAGGCGTCCCCGGGGCTGGCGGGGGGCGGGGCAGGCGGGGC